GGTCGCAAACCCAAAAGTTGGGTCGACTGTTTAACGACGGTTATAAAATAAAACTAATTCTGATCAATCCTAATCATACTAATTAAATTTGTAAAATAATAATTTCTTTTTATATTGCCGATTTGGCATTACATACGATGTATATGCTTTATGTGAAATGTTTAACCATTTAATAATTTGATGGTAAATGATTGTGAGTGACGTAGCGTTTAAATATATGCATTCTTTTATCTCATATTAATATACTGGGCTGCCAACTACAATGCTTTTTACTAAATATTTTATATACAATGGTAAACAATTAAAGAACTAAAACTTTCAGTATTTTAGTAATTTTAAAAACCTCACCACTAGACAGCTTGAACAAAGTTACGTTATATCTTTTGAATCATTTGCATGCTGTGTTGTGAAAAATAACTTTAAATCAAAATTACGAAGCAAAAAATCATGCATTAAAGCATAAACATAGCTACCACAAGAGAAATTTTTGTGAATGAATTTGGCAGACTTGAATATAATAGCAACACAGAAATAGAAAGAATTTGAAATACTTAAATTTTACTATCAATCACTGATTTAGTCTGAATATAATATAGGAATGACAACACTTGCTTCGATTTAAATTTCAAATTTTCTGAAAAACGAATTTACATCAATCTTTTGCTTCCGAATATTAAAATTTTGCTGAACCTATTTCTTCTCTTTTTTTTATTTTTTATAAAAAAGAAATGTGTTGAATAGTGGCGTATCTTATTCTTTCGAAATTCATACGTCAGTATGTATTTTCAAATTTTCTCCGCTTTTGCTAATAAGAAAGCATCTTATTTCTGCTTGAAAAAATCCTTTAAAATATTCATTTATCTTTTCAAGATACGCTCTCATCCTTTGCATATTCCATTCTTACATTTCCAAAAGTAGAAACTGTTGAAATTTTTTAAGAATGAATGCAATTTTTTTTCCTCAGATTTCTAAGAATCTTTTATTTCCATTTTGAACGCGGCGCCAGTCTACCCATTTAGATGTTCTCAAGCAATTTTTTTTCCTCGAATAAATGAAAAATATATTATTATTTCGTTTATGACTATATTAAATGTAACTCGAAAAAAAAACATTGTATAACTTTAATTTTTTGAAATATGGTTTCCTTACGTAAGACACATTAAAAAGATGATTTTTTAAATTTATTTTGTTGCATTGTTCTGATGACGGATTAAATATTTTATATAACATTGCAATATAGTATATTATAGTACATTAATATAGTATTAATACAGTATCTCTATATAATATCTCTCTCTTTATTAATTATCTGTACTATCTCTATATTAATTATATTTATAAATTGTGAGGGTCGTCGACACTGTATTGAGTATACATTTAACATGGACACTTTAGTTTGATACACTAAGATTGAGAAACTTGAAATTAGTTTCTCAAGTGATGTGTGTCTAGTTTCTCAAGTGACTGAAAAGTGTTTAAAGAATATATAGGGATTATGACAGAATAAAAAAATTTACATTTGAGAATTATTTCGAGAAATATTAGCTGCTAAAAGTGTCGAACAAATGCCATACGGGCATTACTACTAGCCGCAGCATGAAATTATCTTTGAATAAATGGATTTTATAATTGTGTGCAAAAATTTTTCTATTTGCTTAAAAATTTCTCGAGAGATAATGAAATACACAAAAAGCAAAATTAACTTTAAGAAGTTTAAACTTTTGAAACCATATTTCTCAAATAGCGACTTCCCTCTCCCTATTTTTAGGAAAAGGTATTAAATTCGTCGGAGAAAGGTATGTCTATTAAGAGAAAGTGCGTTTTTGTTTTGAATCTCATGACTTAAATTATCGTCTGCACTAATTAATTAGCATAGATTAACCCTATGAACCATTAAGTTTTAGTCTTAGTACGAGAGAAAACCCGATCATTAGATCAAGAGTTATTCCGGGGTGTTTCAATTTTAATGATTTAATGTATTCTGTTAACTGTTTTTATTTCATGGTAGATTAATTACTGGATATGACGAGGACTGCAAGGTGGGGATATTAATTTCCAGAATTGATCTAATAACTCCTTGAATCAATCAATTTCAATTGACCATCATCTCCTGTAATGTCTACACATCAGGGGCAACAACAAAAAACTTCTCAAGTTTGTAAGGATTCGCAACTAGAAGCCAACTAAGGGAGGGACTTGCAATTTCTTGGTTAACAGTGTGATGAAAGAAAGAAATAAAATCTCGAGGAATAAAGGAACGATAGATGGACTGGTGATTTTTTTAGAGGAATGAATGATGAAAAAGACGAAGATGGATATTTTATTTTTGATGTGCATATCGAAGAAAAATGACCAGCAATGGTTACACTTTAATTCCAATTTAATATGTCCAACACTCTTAAACGATGTTCATAAATGCTCTTTGTCAACTGTAAATAAATATATTTTTTATGATATTTTATTATTCATCTGTGGAATTAAATCTAACACCAAGGTGCAGTAAAGAAGCTCTATGTCAGCTAAAGAAAGGAAAGTTGCTCGACTGTTCTGACTTTTCAAAGTCCTTGTTCGAAGTATTAGTTTTTCTTCAAAACCTCGTTCTTTTAGCATTTTTTGACTTGGTTTCAAAGGTTGCGGAGAGATAATCTTTGGACAAATGTCCTTCAGACTCTTTCTGAAACTTAAATACTCGTTAGAGAAACACGATTTAAGGATGTCGAGGACCTTAAAAATGTCAAAATTGAAGAGCGTTTAGAAAGAGGAGAAAAAAGTTATTTCTGAACTTTTTTTACAGCATAACTACAGTAGAGCATTGCGGCAGGTTACTTTGAAACTTATTAAATATGTAATTCGCATAATTTTTTTTTCAGGAGTTATAAGAATAGTTCTTAAAATAAATAGCCACACCTTGCAGTATACCGCACTGAACTAGTAATTCGAATAACGTAATGTATCCAAAAAATGCCGGACAAATTTATTGCAAATAAACTAGATATATATTTAATAGAAGTATTTGGAAACTTAAACTGGGTATTTCATTAGTAACACTATAGTTATTATTCATTTTGTTAGGTTTTCTTAAGTAATAATTTAAGTCAGGTTTTATAAACTAGATATATATTTATTCTATGCAGCAACTTAAACTGGGAATTCACCTTATTCCCGACCGTATTTCATGTTCTCCTCGGTAGGGGGCAGTATTGATGGAGGCAATTCCAACTTCCGGTAGAAGATTCAGGTAGAAGAATTTCTGCTGGTGTAAACTAAATTACGTTAATCCACATCTCAGCGTTCAGGTAATTGTATATCAATATAAGATATTTTGAGAATTTTTTGATATTTTTTTTCATATCTTCATCTGATATTTTAAAATATGAAGAACACATTTTTTCGCAAAAATACGACACAAATATTAAATTTAGAACAACTGAGTATTTCAAGTATACAAACAAACCCGGAACGTCAAAGAAAAAGAAATAGTCACGTCAATGCTATGACGTCAGAAGAGGACCTCAAGACTTACGGTAGGGATTGTTTGTTATTTTAGGATAGATGGTGAATTTCATTATCCATTAGCAACACTATAGTTTTCATTCTGTTAGGTTGTCTTAAGTAATAATTTAAGTGTTTAATAGTTAGTTATGGATTAAATATTTATTTAGAATAGTTTTGTATGTTTGTAGAAATAAGCTTAGTAACAAAGTAATTATTTAAATTTATTTTTGATCATTTCTGAAATGGCCGTAGAAACTTTAAGCATAAACAGTGCTATGGTGTTGCACTATCATACCAATAATTAGTGACGGAGCTTTGCCTTTTTTGAGCAGTTATAAGATACTGAAGTAATGATTCGAGAGGTGCATGAGGAAGTAGTACAGTACGAAATGGAGCATTGAAATGAGTTTTCTATCCCGACAGAGATTGAAATAATTTCAATACTTCTACCGTCTACTATGCTGAAATGTCCCAAACTCATTCTTACAATGGTTTGTGTGATTTAACTGTTACCGGACAGATTTTAAATCATTACTTAAATTATTACTTAAATAAAAATATTATGTTATTACATAAAGAACTTTGGCAATGTCGCAGACATCTCTTGAATATAATTAAAATTGAAATCAAAATACTTCCAGACGAGCAAGTGACTAGACGTTGGAAAAAATTTGGGTAATATATTACATAAAACTGTTTAATTGGATTGGAGGAGGGATTAAAAAATAGAATATTTATATATACAGTTGTGCTAAGCATTCGTCTTGATTACCAATATTTATTATATGCTGCTAAATATAATTTTGAAAGTTTTTTTTTATTGCAAAAGCACTTTACATCATTGGCCCCCAATCTCAATGGCCCAATCAATTGTCCTCCAATCTCATGCATCTTCGATGCATGAGATTGGAGCATATAAAACAAAAACTGAACCATTGAACAATACAAGAACAATATAATAACAAGAACAATAAATACTTGCAAAACGTGAACCACTTAAACATGAACGAGAATCAGTCGCTGGATACCAATTGCATCAACTCCCTAGCTCGCCAATATCGACTGAATAAATCTTCTTCATTTAATGAAGAACAACTGATCAAATGATTTTCGTCCATCTCAAAGTTCTGGTTGCACAAAGTGCACATAGGACTGCCAAATATACCAATTCTGTATAGATGTTTAGCAAGGCAGTCATGTCCAGTCTCCAGACGGAACGGTGCCACTGCAGTGGATCTAAAGGAGTTTGGAATTTTATTTATTGAATACCTCCATTTCTTATTCTTGATTTCTTCTACTAAATTAGGATCATAGCTTTTCTTCACAATATTTTTTATAATTATTTTAATTGATGAAAATGGTACTTTGGCATTACCTGCCTGCAAAATCTCTGTTCCGTTCTTTGCTAATGTATCAGCCCATTCGTTACCATTTATTCCTACATGAGATGGAATCCACTGCAGAACAACAGTCCTTCCCTCAGAAGCTAGTAGAGTAATATTTCTTCAGCAGGAATCAATAATATTTGACTCTGCAACATTATGTGCAGCAATAGCCTGGATGGCTGATGGAGAGTTTGAAAAAATAACTATGTTGTCAATCTGAACTGATCTAACCCTGATTTGTTCTGTTGCAATTCTAATTGTCTCCAGTTCTCCATCAAAATTGGTCCGCAATGGACCAAGGGTGGCACAGAACACAAAGAGTTCTGAATACACACCAACACCAACTTTGTCAAGCATTTTCGATCCGTATGCATAGATGTGAATCCAATTACTCTTTGGATACCTGGTATAAATTGTCTGTAGAGCAGCTGCTTTTAGTTCACAATCGAGTGCTGAGGATTTTGTCATAGCAGTCATCAAATTACATTCCTTTCTAATAGATCCCATGTGAATAGGACATGCTGGTTTCAACAGTTTCTCTGTGGGAACATTCTGAAGGGAACAGTCAGTTTTCAGTTTAAGAACTTTCTGCAAAAATCCATCCTGAGTTTTTAATCTCCTAGGTTTAGTGATATCATAATTTCTCCATAAATCAGTTGATGGCAATCTAATCAATTTTTCATATAGTATTAAAGCCTTTTCCTGGATAACTACTTCTATTGGTTTGTTGTCTGTTAGGGCCAGCATTGCATTTATTGGAGTAGTCTTTACAGCTCCAGTGACTAGTCTCAGGGCTTCATTTTGAAACACCTCTAGTTTAGAAATTTATGTATTACTGCATGTAATCAAGGCCTCAACAATATCCTATTAATGGCTTAATGCATAAATTATAAGTTTTATTTAAAGTCTCTCTTCCACAACCCCATTTTACTCCTGCGAGCCTTTTAACTATTGTTAGCCTTTTTCGAGTTCTATCAATAACATCATCTACATGTCTTTTCCAAGAGAGCTTTTTATCAAACTTGAAAGGTAAAAGTAATTTTTAAAGGTAAGTAAGTTGGTCACTTTTCAAAGCTGGTCATTACATAAATTAATAATATTTCCCACTAACTAAAATATACAAAATCTATCAGAAGAACCTATATAAATTAATGTATTTGTTTAATCTCTTATACAAATGAGATCTCTTATACATATTATGTTTTAAAAGTTCTAGATGACTGAACCGTAGTTACAATAATCAATCTCTAAAAGTTTTTTTGGAATTTATAAATACCTGAGAGAGCGGTAATTAGTAAGAATAATTAACCGAGTAAATTTTGCTGTGATTTTAAGACATGACTTTTGGTGCCATAACGATTCCATGAATGATAAAATAAAGACGAAGGTCCATGAACTCATTATGAAACAATAATATCTAAAACCAGTGTAGGGTGGATAATCTATATTATATAAAATGCTAATACGTAAGTATATATGTATGTATCAATAAAACCGATGATATTTCTTTTCTCTCGCTGGCAACAGTTTTCATTTTTAATTGATTGGATTCGGCGTGCAAGAGCACGTAGTGAGCAACCAGATAACAATAACCAGAGTGAGCATTATCAGGTTGTTCAATTCAGATTCATGCACTAAAAACATGACAATATTTAATTTAAACTCAATTAGGAATTAATTAATTAATTGAAGTGAGAATGCTTTAAAAGGCCGCTGTTGAATTGATATTTTTCTACTGGGAGCTACCTAAACGTCTAAAAAACGTTTAAGTGTTTGTATTGAATGCATTGAATTTTTTTATATTTCGCGTTTATTTATGCATTGAATTTTCACGCTTTAAAATGCAGAATATTAGTGAAGCAATATTTGATAATTTATTTTGCTAATATGTTTCTTATTTAGCTAATGTTTTGATTTTTTCACCATGTACAATCTAAATAGCTAATATACTTTTTTAAAAGCCAATAAGAACATTGGTAGAATTCTTCTACATAAGTACAATACTATTTACCTATCCGTAAAATACTATGTCTTTGATGATAATATATTATGTCTTTGTGCTAGAACATTGTGTTCATTGGCGAGCGAGCGCAACGAACCATGGTTCACGGCGTGAACCACATAGGATTGCGTAGCAATTCTCGGGGGTTGGCGAGCGTTAGCGAGCAGGGGGCGGAGCCTCCTAGTTTATGTTTAATTTCCTTAAAAATTTATAGAGTATATTATGAACATCATAAAAATGTTATGTAACTAAAGAACCATAACCCGATCTCCGAACTCGCCAATCCCAAATCTGCTCTGGCAGTAATTTTCGGATTGTTCTGCAACTCGAGCCTGTTTTCTGGTATTTATCTTAAAAAAGAGAGCTGAAAATCGCCGCATGCATGTGATGAAAAACCTGATTAAAATTCATTTCATTCGATTTAAATACATTGCGTAATGATTGTAATTTAAATGATATGTGTAAATTACATTACATAAATTGCAAAATATAGACACATTATTACAAAAAATAGATTAAATATGTTAGTTAAAAAAAATTCTGTAGCTTTAGAAGCAAAACTTATATTAGGTTTGAAATCCCCACACCTGAATCAGGCAAGATCTAGTCTTAGTTTATACGCAATAAAAAAATTGGGGTAGATTGTTGATTTTTCAAATCTCGCCAAGCTACTTTTTAAAACCTCGCTTAACTTGGTTTCACTGTGGTTGATTAATATATGTTTTGTCGAGAGGAATGCAAGAGAAATATCGAAGTAAAGGTAAGTTATTTTTTATTTTATTTTATTAAAAATTGATTAGGAAATTTGTAATAATTTAAATTGCTCTTTTTTAGTAATAAAAAAACACCATTGATCCAAGTTATAGTCCAACTTGGCGAGATTTCAAAAAGTAGCCAAGGGGTGGGTTATTCTAGGATTTTACCAAAAATTGTTCATCAGTGTAATTCATACATTTTCTTTCTATGCATAATTATAAGTTTTAAAGTTTGATGGTATTAATTTTATTATAAAGTCTTTATTTTTACATAAACTCATAAAATCTACATTACCCAAGGAAGGAAAAAGTTTTTTAAAAAATGAAAAAGCATAAATAGCTGATTTACGTTGATAAAACTCATCTTTTCCCTGCCTTAATGATGAAACATAATATATAGCTCTAATATATTGCTCTAAATAACGAACATGTCTTAATTATAGGCGTAGCGTGAGGGGGACACTCTTTTTGTCTCTAGAAAACTGTTCGTTTATTTTAAATTACATACATACATTTTTAGATATAAATATACAGACATATAAAAAATAAATATGCAAATGTACATAAAATTTAAAATAAACAAACAGTTTTCTTAAAACAAAATGTGTGCCTGCTGTGGCCTTAATTCATCGGTATATTTAAAACATATAACTCAATCTGTTTGTTTATATGAACTGTTCACTTTTAACCTTTCATTTCTGTCAAACATATATCTCGGGAGAAAATAAATTTAATTTGGAAATTTGAAAAGATGCACTTATGACTGCTAACTTTTAGTTTCCATTACTTTGTTACTAACGTGAAATGAAATTCCAACGGTTTGGTGACAATATATCTGCTATTTAGCGTAATGCGATAGAAAATTCGTGATATGGTCTTTTATATCAGATCTAACCTTATTAACAGCTAATTATTTTTATTTCTTTTTTAATTAAGATTAAATTAGTTCCTGCTGAAAATGGTTATAAAAATCTTGACTTCAATCGAAAAAAACGGAGATAAGAAATTAAATTACTGATTAGTAAAAACAGCTAACTTTTAGTAATCGTTTTAGTAGTTAAAATAACGTTTACTAATTTTGTTAATGCTTTTTTTTATAAAAAAAAAAAGCTTTCTTTACTGTGCTTAAAAAATTTACTTAGAACGAACAATTAGCACGAGACTTTTCAGTTTAAATAATCTAGTTTAGGCTTCAGTAAGTACAAGTAAACATTTAAATATTTTTTACTAAAGATTTTTTACTATCTTCTTAGGAAACTATTTCTGGTGCAGAAGATTAAATAATGTATAAGTTGCCATCAATTCAAAATAAAATTTTTCTTTACATTTTATTTAAATATTACAAATATTTTTCATGAGCGCAGTATGAAGTGATTATGTTTACAAATAACTTATTTGATAAGTTTGCAACGGTATTTTCATATTTCAACTCTATTTAAATTTGCCGTAACTGACCAATCTAGAATTTTCAGCTACAACATATTTAAAATAAATATTTTAATAATCGAATTAATTTACTATGTTATCTAATTAGCTATAGATGAGAGGTTCCTAGGCCTAATTTTATCATTTTTATTTCTTATATAAACGCTACTCAACACCCGAAGATTGCTAGGCAACCTTATATAATCTGTTTGGCAAGTAATGCAAGTTAAACCCAAGTGAAATGTAATTAAGCGTAAAATCTTAAGAATTTAAATCACTTATTGAAATCTTTAAAGCTAATTCCTCTTTTACGAGAAACTAAAATGTTTAGACAATAATAAGTTATTGAAATAAAATATTTTAAATTGAAATAATTGACATGCAATAGAAAAACCTAGAGAGAAAAAAATTAGAATTATGCTTTTAAAAATAACAAAAGTGGCAAAGTCTACTACGTTTTCTTTTAATGTTATGTTTTTCATATCTCTCATAAAAACTTTCTTCTGCTCTTTGAGCATTAACGAAATTGAAGCACTCAGTCACAATAGCTCTCTAAATTTCACACACAAGAAAAAAAATTCTGCTAAATATTACAAAAAGATAATAACTATTTTTCCCTTCTTCGTTTTTAACTTTTTTGAAATTAAATCGATGATGATTCATAAAAATTTTCTGTACATGTCAAAAACATTGTGGAGGACTTTTCTAATTATTAATGGAGTAACATATACCCTCCGACTCCCCCCCCCCCGTCTGCGACGCCCCGTCAAGCGAGGCTTTTTTTTATTATACTTAAATAATGTAACAACACGACTTATGCTAATTTTTCAATGAGTAACAGTAACAATAAATTAAATTATAATTAATGGATTTTCATAAGCATAGTTATAACATAATATTGTTGTTGTTGACTAATTTCTTTTAATACTTTTTTTTGACTTATAACTTTGTTAGTCTTCGCTTTTCTCAAGTAAAGAATGTTCATGCAAAAATTTTTTAACATTCACGCTTACGCTTTCTTTCTTATGACAGATCACGCACTTGATATTTCAATTTTTTGTTGATTATGCGAAAAATAAATTATGATTTTCTTTATCGCCATGTAAGAAAATATCTCTAGATGGATAATTTAATTTCGTGAGAAATGCCTTAAAGTTTTTCTATTGACTTTTTGAGAATAAATTCTGCCATACACTACAGAAAAAAAATATTTTTAAAGTAAGGAAAAACGTTTCTAGGTACAACAGGTGTTTGTTATTGGATGTTACACCTTATATAACACGCATTTGAAGTTTCTTTGGAAAACAAAACTTAAATTAGTGAATTTGAAAATTTGAATATTCATGCATGCAAATATAAATCTTATTTCTCAGCTTAGCCTATACAATTTATAAAATATTAAACTTTTACATGAAATATAGTTAATTGTTCGTTTAATGCATAGTAATCATTCATTATTAAAACTAACAAAATAAAAAGAAAATTTGCTTTGTGCATGCAAACTGGGCTTTCGGATTTTAAATAAAAAAAATTCGTTGCAATTTATTTCCAAATTGAGAGAAACT